TAGGGAAAAGAAATAGGCATATTTAAACTCTAATTTAGCATCAAATATAGTTCTGACAGCAAATTTTCAATCAGAGTTGTATTAACAAACAGAAGAAATGGTCAGGCAAACTCCACTTGTATCAAAACAGTTAACAGTTTAGAGTGTCTGCAGATAGAGGTGGATCAGCAGGACAAAACCAAAGTGGTACTCTAGAATAAGAAAACTGTTTTTTGTACAGTATATTGATTACTGTCACTAGCTTAAGTTCCCATATTAGAGAGGGTAACGGCCTCTACTGAAGCTGAGATTCTAGTGGAGAGATTCAGGCAGCTGCAAAATAGCAGCAGTCACTCGAGGTCCCTGTCTGGCCCAAAACCCTGCAGCCTCCAAGGTCATCACCCCTAATGTGCAAGGGAGGCATCAGGGTCAGAGCGAGCTGACTGATGGCTTTAACATCGTCATTTCTAGCCTGTCCGGGAGGAGCTGCATCACCATGCAACAGGAGAGGACGCTGCTCCCAGGGTATAGATGGGGATGGAACGTGCACTTGTCAGGTATGTCCCTTCTTTTAAATGAAAAAGTACAACAATAGCATATAAGCTCTGCTAAGAAATAATGTATATTATGTGGTATAAATACATTGAAGGAAAGTATTTCAGAAATAGCAGAGATGATCTGCTTGGAGTTCATTTTTTGCTTGGTTTGCACTGATCTCCAGACTATTATTTCTACAGACTTGAGCATGTTTGGATGGTATTAAAGAGCTGTTCCATCTTGTCTTCCTGAAAGAGGTGGTTTGAGTCCTTCTGTTTTTAAGTGTGCTATTCCTTATGACTTTTTGCCCTAATTAGAAAGGAGGTATACCTGGGACTAATACTCTCAATATTATGTTCCTTTGCTGAGAATGCAATGCACAGTGCTTAATAACTTCAGCCAAAAAGATTTAAAAAAACAAACAAACAAACAAAAAAACAACTCCTCAAATCTTTTCTACCTCCCCCTCTACTGGTTAATCTTTCCATTACAGCAAAAGCACATCTGCGGATGTGTAAAGAAGAGACAGAGTGAGAATTAGTCAGAAAATACAACCTAACAATTGTAAGAATGATTGGGCATTAGGCTTGATTACTGTTCTTTATTGTTAATTTGATATTCAGAACCTCTGATTTGACTTGAAGTGTAAGAGCTAAAAATTAAAAAAAAAAGCCAGAGAGAAAAAAACAATTCAAAAGACAATGTTTTCTAGATTGCAGTAGTCATCTTTGATTTTGTGACTGAACCTTTCATGTTATTTTCTTTTGGCAGCTAAAGATGCTGTTTTCAGGCTGCTAAGCATATATCTATCTATATAGAGACAGATGAGAAACTTAAGTTTTGATTTCCATTCTGTAATTCACAGAAAGGCTTTGGTGGGACAGCCTGTGAAAAATGTGCTGAAGATAATTTATTTGGTCCTCACTGCACATCAGGTAAGTTTGAGCTTGCTTTATTGAAGTGGGGAAAAGAAGGTGAGTGGAAGCTGTATTCAGACACTGTGAAATCCCAGTGAAAGGGGTAGGGGGTCTAAGAGTTTGCTATCAAGAGCTGCTGTCTGCTTCAGGGAACACAACAGGGAAAGAAAATAGGCAGCTACTCAATTCCTCATTCACAGTGGGGCTGGATTCAGCTCAGGACCGTACAGTCAACACTCAGTGTAGCACTACAAAAATATCTTCAGCTTATCTTGAATATCTTTGTTATAGCCAACAGTCAAATAAATTAGGGATTAGAATCAACTGTGTGTTCCTGCAGGTATGCCTCCCTGTTAGCCAGTTATCATGTTGTCCGCTTTTCACCCTAAATTACAGATTTGCATTTATTTGATCTAAACACAGGGGGTTGTTATGGTACTTAAAATTTTGGGTGGGAACATATCAAATGCATAATTTATAGTGGCTTACAGTGTTTTGGTATGTTTTTTAAATACATCTACAAACTGGAGCATCTGTATTAAGGCATGAAATACTCATGTGGTATTGAAATCAGTATATCTTACTCAAAAAAGGCCATTTTGAATCAGGCCAAAAGTCCTTTTAGCCTAGCATCTGATATTAGAGGCCAATAGTTGATATCTAGGGAAAGAGTACAAGCAGCCAGAGATTGCATTCAAATTGTAGTGTTTAAAGGCTCCTGCTGGATCCATCCTCCATAAATTATCTACCTTGCCTCTGAGTCCAGTTCTGCTTTTGCTCTCCACAATATTCTGTGCCAAGGAGCTCCACAATTTAGTTAAAAGCATGAAAAAGGATTAATTTGGTTTAGTTTTGATTTTTGACTGGTAGATCATTCCATTGGTTGGCCATACTTCTATTAGGAGAAGAGGGATGTTGAGGGAGGGATCAGAGCTATGTGCACTATTTAAAACGTGTATGTATCACAAGTGTATACATTTGTATAATATTTTCCAGTTTTGCCTGTTTCTTAATGACTTCTAGTATTTTATTTGCCTTCCTGACCCCTGCTGAGCATTAAACAGACACATCAAAAGACTGCCTGAAAAAAAAATATTAAGAAACATCTCTTTCTTAAGTGGTAATAGTTGTTTATCTCTAAGTAAAACCCTTTTTGTTCCCTCAAGATCTACATAAAGTTACTTCTAAAAAGAGTCACAAATGGCCTCACTTTAAATGATCTGTGTTGGCCTTTCTACACTAATCCTACCACTGCTGACTCAAAGGCCCTTTTTCCACCAGCTGTCCACTGGATGCCAGTGTTGATACACAGAAATGTAACTGAGCCAACATTTTCATGAAAATAGAGTACCTGAATGAATTCAATACAGTAAATGTAATTATTTTCCAAGAAGCTACCAGAGGACTCAACTGCATATTAATTTAAGCAACATTTTACACTTCAGCTTTCAGGTATTTGAGCTCCTCCAAGTTTTCTAAGCACCTATAAATACTGTGCATTTGTGACTAACTGCTTTTCAGCAATACCTTAAACATTCCTGGGTTTTATATCAGCACTACTAACATAGGTAGAATGTTATTAATTAATAAGTGTAGGTGATTTGCATGAACACAGGATATGTTTGTAAAGGGAAGAGGATATGCTACATCACTGCAGCTTAAACATAAAGTTGCCAATGCAGATCTGTACATCTTAGAGGCTTTTCCAGGTGTAACTGTAAAGGGCCTTTTTAGAAAGCATCATTACCATAATTAAAACAGTTATGACTATAAAGCTTTTTAAGTACACTTAAGGCTTCAAAAACCACTTCTAAAAGGGTCTCATAGTTGCCTGGACTCTGAATACGGCATCTTGTGTACATATTGTCACAAGATTTATAACCAGAAATGACAGAATATAGGAACAGGACCAGAAAAAAGCCTGAGACCTACACAGTGATTAATTATCCTTTTAACTAAATAAATTCTGTTCAGGGAAAAAAAAGTCACAAAACTGATCTCTTCTGGAGGTGTTTGAGAGAGGCAAACAGAATTGAAGCAAAAAATGGGCAATTTGTTAACAGTTATAAAAATAGTCTCCGTTACACATTATATTCAATTTTGGCTCAAGGTTGTATGCCAAATTTTACAAGTTTTATGGTATTAGCAGCTAGTCAGTTTGGTGTTTATAGTGTGTGTCCTGAAGACTTTCAGGCCCCAAGCTATTAACAGCCTGCAAAAATGTTATTTACTGATGCATGCAACTGTGAGTATTGATCTTCTCATTAATGGAAGCCTATAAATTCAAGAACTCAGGCTAAAGCTTGGTGTGGCCAAAGCTGTTGGCCAGGACACTATTTGCTACAGGTAACCACTAACGATGTCTTTCTGAACACCCAATCCATCTCTCCATATAGTTTGTGACTGCGTTCATGGAGTATGCAACAGTGGAATTACAGGGGATGGAAGATGCACTTGCTTGTCTGGATACAAAGGGCTCAGCTGTGATCAGCGTAAGTAAATTATTTTCCATATAAGATATATTCAACAGCTCTGATACAGTTAGAATTGGTGAGAACAAATGTAAAATTAGTCTCAGGTCAGTCATTCTAGAGCAACCAAACATACACTGAACCTCAAACCCTGTGTGTGAGCTCCCATAACCCTCATCACCACATCAATCACCATAAAAATGATGACAGCAATGGGATCAGTGATCCCTAGATCAGGCATACTTTGAACTAGTATACTGCAGAATGCAATGCCTCCTGGCATAGTGTGCAGACACAGCTTAACCTGTCACACTCTGTCCCTCAGCAATACCTGAATGCGAGGCCTTGCGGTGCCCTGCAAACTCCAGATGCACTGCCTCAGGCAAGGATGGAAAACAACTGCAATGCACATGTCTGCCCAACTACCACGGGGACGGTACACAATGTGAACGTGAGTAATTTCCATGTCCACCAAGTTCTTGTATACAAACATCACTGGTATTATAGTTCAGATATTGAGTGCGCTTTTGAACCAAATCTCACCATCTAATTGTCCTTCGGTTCATATCCCAAAGCAGTCTCATGTGCACAAACTAGATTTCTTCAGGATGAAACTATACCCTAAAATGTACTTCAGAAGCACATCAGTCCGATTGCTAACAAGCTTCAGTCCATGCAACCAGACTAAAGCTAGTAAACCCCCTCGAAATACATTGTGTGGATACTGGGTCATCAGTGCTTACAAATCCATTCCTATCATATCCCTCTACTTGCTAAAGTTCAGCCTCATAGTCTGCTTCCATAAAAATCAATAACAGCAACCAAGGGCTTATATTTATTGAATATCCATCATGTGGCATCTCAGCTTCATCACTAAACAAACTCTACAGACAAGTAAAGCTCATTTTAGCTTTCCTATTTTTCATGAAACAAAGCTAATAGTATCCCAGCTAGAGGTAAAAGTCTACCTTAAAGCTGTCTTTATAGACTCCTCAACTTGCTATTGAATGCTCAAATTAACTATACTACAAGAGTCCAGATTTTCTTTCCTCTACTTCCATTATGTCTTACAGCACCAGTTCTTCCTTCTAGACCAATTCCAATGAAGAAAATGGTTGTATCTGATGCTGGAAGCACTATTTAGTAAATGTTGGCTTGGATCAGGCCACAAATACAACATTTCTTATCCTGTCTGGGAATATTTACATTCAATCCTCTTGGTCCTAGCTATGGTGTCATCCTCTCTGAATAGGCTTGAACACCACCCAAGAGCAAGACATCAGAAAGTCAGTCCTCAGGGAATCTGATGTTCTTCTAGTAGGCAGCATAGACAAGTGACAAAGAAATTGCAGCAACCAGCAACATCTCTTGGGTTTTGTATTGATGCAGTCTGTGTGGATGTTGCTCCTCTGTCCCAGTGCCTTTAGATACTGGGGTCATCTGTGGCTTAAGCCAGTGTCTTTTACATTTGACTGGCTGGGAAGCAGAGGACAAGCAGCTCCAGCACAGCTAAGTACGTGAGGATAGCAGTGGCTGTCCCAGAATCTCCTTGGAGGTGACGTTGTTTATGGTTGGTTTGAGCACGTAAACACCAGAACAGAAGAGGAGGCTTGAAAGAGTGAAGCTGAGCATTTCCAACTCTCAGTCCAAGCTGAGGGGGAAGAAAGGGAGGAGGAGAGGGGAAGACAGGGAGCAGCACCACCTTTTAGGTGAGTCCGGGGCCTGCCACCTTCCAGCTACAATGTGTGCTTGACCATATCCTAAACTGGACACAAAGGTGTGAGAAGGTGTTCTCCAAGCACTGCTGGACTATGAACAAGGACAAACAATGTCATTGCCTTGAAAAAAAGGGCTCACAGAAATAACTAGTGAGCTTCCAGTCCAGTCCTGAAACTACAGCAGTGTAAACAGACTCAACTAAAGCACTTGCTGGCCAGGTTTCCATATAGCTGAACGGATGACATTATATTGTTTAATTACCGGAAAGAAAATAGTGAAGCCCTATTGTATTGAGAAATATTTTCCAACTGATCTAACACGTGCTTAAAGCTTGTACAGACCTCGTATCACCTACCTGACCTTCTCTGGTTAAAATCCTCCAGAGAACAGGGAAATAGTTGTGATATTTTAATGAGCACATTGCATGTTTTAATCTGTTTATAACTCAATTTGCCAAGTTAAGAGATCATTTCTGTTCAAAAGCAAACAGTGGGTTGCTACGTTAGTATAAACACATTCCTCCCTTCTGTCTTCATGCCACCACGATACTTTAGGCTTGGCTGTTATGAGAAGTTTAGTCTACCCGGGCTTTGTTTGGCATGGAGGTGCTCTAGCAAATCCTCATCTTCAATTTCAGAACTGTGGGCGATAATTCATTTACTTCACTTCTTTTTTCACAAGCTATCAACCCATGCTCCAAAAAGGTCTGCGATCCTAATGCCGACTGCATTTACCTTGGACCAAATCAGCACACATGTACCTGTCGAGAAGGTTACAGAGGGGATGGTCAAGTCTGCTTACCCATAGACCCCTGCCAACTAACATATGGGAATTGCCCTGCACGGTCTACCATTTGCATATATGATGGTCCAGGAAAGGTTAGTATTGAACGGGTGCCCCAGACATTTCCTGTGTCAACTGCCTAGGAAGGAACAATGCTCTCTCTCCAAAAAGAAGCCATGAGGGTACAGGAACAGGCCTCAGCAAGGCCAAGCTCTACTCCTAGCTTTGGCATAAGCCCTGCTGGTGACCAGGAGTGAGTCCCTTTACCTCCCACCCTATGCACCTATGTGGTGCTTTCCCCTCTGAAAATGAGAATGACAATAGTGTTCTTTTTCCTAGAATATTTAGGCTCAGATTTGCCTCCCCAAAATGAAGGTACTGAAATGAAGCTTCTCCCAGTTAAATTTTCTGTCTCTGACCACAGGGGGCTTGTAGGACCAGTAAGATCCTTACACAGGTACCACAAATAAATGCCTACAGTGAATGTATTTAGGAAAGAAGTATTCTGGGTCTTTGAGGACTGCCAACAAAAAGCACCATATAAAGGCTGCTGTCAGGAACTGGCTCAGGTTTCCATCTGTAAAACACCTGCCACTGAGAAAGCAAGACTTCAGAAGACCATGCCTGTTTTGCCTGGACACCCTGAAGAGCTGAAAAGGGAGTCAGTCATCCAGGGTCATCCTGCAGTTCACTTTCATATAAGCGCTGATATACCTCGCTCATTAATAACATGCATTGGCACTCGTTTTGCCAGGCAGAGGGCTCTGGGAACAGAGGTAAAAAAAATCTGACCTACCCACACTGATTTTAAATGTTCTCTGGTCACAGAAATGAATCTGAAGGGCTTTATCTGAAGGAAATTTATCTGAGAGTCAGTAGTTTTTGGAGTGGATAAAACCTAGAAGGGAGCTGTATAAATATGGATAAGCTTTATACTTGCATCTGAACTCACCAGGTAATTAACTAAGGCTTTGGAAGCTCACTGTCTTTAGACCCTAGTTCTAGAAAGTATTCTGAAATCCACAGTTTGTGCATGTCTAATTTTTTTCTCCCCTCTCCCATCCTTCTGATTTAGTCCCACTGTGAATGCAAGGAGCATTACACAAACTTTGTACCTGGGAAAGGATGCAGCATGATGGACATCTGTGAAACAAACAACACCTGCCATAAAAAAGCTAAATGCTCAACGGTTGCACCAGGACAGATTACGTGAGTCTTTTTGCTTATTAAAGCTTTCACCCAGTTTCTCCCTCCTTCCCCTAGTCAGCAGACTGCTAAAACAAATCCAGTGGATGAACACCTCCTGAAGTTATCATTAATGGTGTCTTTATCAAGGACAAGTTACAAGATTTAATGGGGTTATGGTCAACCAATTAGCATAATGTTTGATTTAATCAGTCCAATTGCTAGTACCTACTAAGTTTTATTTTTATAGCACTCAGAGGTCATTTCTACACTACTAAATAAAAAGGACCAAGACCTCTTTTCTGTTCCTCAGTGCAAGCAGCATGGTCTGGCTCACAGCTAAAGTTTCTTCTTCTTCCAAAGCAGAGTAACTGCCTCTTGGCAGAGGTCCCTGGCACACACTATCCCTTCAACTGTGCCCGGGCAGTGCCTGGGAAAACACTACTTGGTGTGGGCCAGAAACATGCCAGGCAGGACGCTAAAAATTAATCAGCATTAATTATCATGGGACAGCACTGGAGCCCTGGCTCTTTTTAGTATACTAATACTAGGGAATCTGACCCCATGCTGTGAAAGCAACACCAACTTCGGCAGATTCCTCAAAGCCTTGAGACAAGCACGTGGGAAACTGCAAAACCTCTGGCAGAGTTTGTTTTCCTGTACAGAAATTTGCTACACAGATGTTAGGAGGAAAGTAAGTTTAAAAACAAGTGTTAAAACTGAACAAAGCTATCTTAAACCAAATAATTTGGATTACACATTTCTGTAGCCCAGTGATGGCTAGTACTGGGTTTAAAGAGGTGTCCCTGAAATGTTAGTTTTCAGGAGTTGAGAGTTTGAATGCGAAAGACAAGATAGGTCATTACTTGTAAGGTGGGAACAAATAATTTGTCATATAGATCTATACAGACAGAAAGCGTTCACTCGGGAGAGTATTATTATTTGCCAGTTCTTGCTTCATCATGCGGCTTATGCTTACAGTGTAATATCAACAACACTTTTGTGTAAGCTATTGTGCATTTCGAACAGGCTTATCTAGAATATCCCTAGTTCATTTCTAGAGCGTACTATACTACTCAAACTGCACTTAGTATATACTTATACTATACTTAGTATACTACTATACTGCACAACACGAGTTGAAAATTAAAATAAATTTCCACATCACATAAATCGGGACCTTTCTTTCCTAATTTGTCACTGTTTCACTGTTGCAACTCAATTTTCAATAGCTAAGGAAGTTTTGAGAATTTTAGAATGGGAAAATTAAAAATTTGTGACAGGGGAGCAGGGGAACAAGCAATCCAAATGTTTTGCACATCATTCATTCAGTGACCTTTAATGGCAAAAACAAATACAGAAGAAAGGAGTGGGATTCAAATCAAACTAAAACTATCTATTTGGAAAAAAAATGAAACTATACTGAATAATTTTCAACTAAGGAAAATCCATTTATGAAAGGGGAACTTTGCAAATAAAAACATTGATTGGTAAATGTGGGCACAGTAATTTTCTGATAAGTGGCAGACCCTGTATTTTGGCTGCATCACAGCTTTTAAATGTATCTGGAAGGGCTTGTTTTGGTGGGTTTTTTTTTTCTTCTTCTAAAACACAAAGCTGTAACAGAGGCCACAAACCTGCTTTGCTTCCTTTCTTTTGTTTTTGGTTTTGTTTTTATTAGAGATGCGGTTGTGCTGTTATCTTCCCCCATATAGAGTCACTTTTACTTTCTCCAGAATCAAATGATTTGTACAGGAATAGATCTCATATGGACAAAGATGTAGAAAAGACAAACAGTTTGTGAACATAACAACCTCCTGGAAAATCAAGATTGTCTCTGGTTTTTGTACCCATATAGATCTTTACTGAGTGATTGCTGATACTTTCTATGGCATTCCTTCAGCACAGTAATTATGTTCAGCCTTGCCGAGAAGCTATGAAGCTTCAACTGGTGCAGAATTACCCTGCATATTAGACCATAACCTCTCTGGTTTCCAAGCAGAACTAGCTTTCCCTCAGCTAAACTCCATTATTTTCTTTTTTAATCTCACTCTTCTTTTTACTCTATGTCTTCAATGTAGAAATTAGTAGCTTCATAAACCAAAACTGTCATACAAGTTTCAGGTAAAGTAGACACAGAAAGCTGAGCTCCCCTTTTCTAGAGAGATACAATTCTCTTCTCCCTCCGGGGTAAGCTGAAGTAGTGACAATTCCTGTCTTTTTCAGTCCTGCCTGTACTGTCCATGCAGCATATATGAAAACATCAAACAACTAAGTTTAAACAGTCCAGCAGGGTTTGTTGCAAAGCTGTTCTTCTTTAGAGGCAGCCAGCCCATACAGTATACAGTGCATTCAAAGCAAAACCTATAAAGCCATATACAGTACGAGTTGCAAACCAGATCCCCCAGACAAAGCTAAGACAAAAATAATCTAGTCAGTCACCCAGCTGGTCCTTCCCGAGCCCAGCCACACAGAGTAAATTACTCCATCAGAAGGGGCGAGGGGACAGACAGGTTGAAGGGTTCAATCCCATGCAATAGGTGCTAATATGTAATTGCTAAATACTTTCCTTTGGCAGTCAAATCCAAACCGTTACTGGACACCCACTCAGTTATAAGCAATATTGTCCTCAGAAAAGAAATTTCAAACCGCGTAGGTATTTCTGTAGTTCATTGTGCCCCTGGAAATGATAGCCAAAAAAATTACTATGTTTAACCACCTGCTTCTTTATGACCATTTGCAGAAAAAGAGAGGAGAGGTTTATTTTGAAACCTTGATCTGATTTGTGCAATATTTCAAGAGTAGTTTCTTTTTTCTATTAAACTATTCCTCGGCTCCTTTGAGGCCTCAGGTTTTTTTTTTCTTCTCTGCTCAGAAGTGAAGGGAGCTATGTACATCAATACAGCAATATTTACCCCATCAGAAGAAAGGGGTCAGCTCCCAAGGAGGAGCTGCTCCTCTTTCCCAACCCTAAACCCTTCATCTGGGCTCCACAGTCACACCCTCTGCCCAAGAGATCCCCTTAAAAAGAAGAGGGCTCACCATCAGAATCACATCCTAAAAATTTAAGCTGCTTTTAGACTGCTATTTTTACCCAGGACCGGAAGGACTCATAGCTTGAGCCTCTTGGCCAAAATCCCAGCACCCCTCTGAGGCTATATGCAGCCCCCCAGACTGCAAAGACTATGGGGATTTTCAATTGCTGTCACCAGAGAAACAGCTACGGTAGAGACCATACGTGGGAAAAAGGAGAGGATTTGGCATCAGGCTGATACTACTGTGGGGTGTGAGTGGCAGATGTGTGTTTGTAACAACCAGCACATGGAAAACGATTAGGTCATAAGTTATATAAAGAACATCTTTTGCTTGCGTAGAGTAACGTTCCTTCTGTAATGATACCTTTATAAAAAATATCCAGAGAGATGAATCATTATGAATAGGGCTTATACGAACACCGTACATGCTAGAGACTGAATTAGGAAAGCCACTATCAAAAACCAACGTTTGGCAACACATACCATATAGTTGTTCAGCCTCCTAAATATAGTTATGGTTTCTTTCTGTGCGCGCTACATGTTGACAAGCACCTGCTTTAATTTTAGCACTGAAGATGAGTAAATGACTGAGCTGACACCACTAGCCAGTCTCCCAGGAGCAGCCAAGCAGGGACTGATTATCTGAAAACTGCAACAGAAAGAGCTGAGATTGGCAAAACCAGCAGGCATCAATAGCCCCTCAGATTGAGGCAGGCTAAAAGAGTCCAGATTTTTTAGAAAGTACTAATCACATCTCCCGGTGAATAGTCAGGCTGACACAAGGTCAAGGCACACACAAGTCCTAGTTGCTCTTTGAAACTCACAACCATTTGTATCCATCAGGACCTAATAGCAAGCACACGTCAATCACATTGATAACCAACAATTTCTTCCCCACCTCTCTTGTGACGCTGAGGTCTTTCACAGCCATAGGATTCAGTTTTCATGAGGCGTGTTCCCTCTAAGACAGAAAATGTCAGACTGACACTTAGGGTTGTTGTTCCATAAATTTCCTTTAGATTTTGCCTTGGCTGCAACATGCTATTTCAAATACAGCCCATCCCAAGGCAGTGAGGACATTGAGCCCATCTCAAGGCATCACCTGTCATTCTCATCGGCACCACGACCTGAGCCTGCTTTGGACATACGTAGGACTGGGTCAACCGTACCTCACTGACACTTCTCACAGGCTGGAGTCCACAGGGGACAGCCAGGGTGTTACAGATGAGATGCTATTTCCAGTGCAGAGACAGCAGCAGCATAAAGCATATGTCTGAAAAAGTATGAGATTTCATGCTTCAGCAGCTTCAGAAAAAAAGTACAAGTACCATTGCTCAAAATTGTTACGTTACTTAAAGTGCAGGGTAACAAACAACCATTTTGCTTTGTTAACACTCATGCCTGCCTTTTCCTACCAGTCCCATGCAGCTATCACAGGGATCACCCGCTTCGTACGTAACTGCCGTTAATCCTGCCAAGTCCCATGTAGTAAGTGGAAGCTTCACACAGCCGCCTCCCCACGGCAAGGGTGGCACCCCACACATTTATGCCATAGCCTCTACTTGCCCACAGGCAGGCAGGGTCAATGGCTTTCTGGGCTCCAGCAACCACAACATTTGGGGACCAGAGGCTGCACCACAGCCAGAGGCATTGCATAGTCCCCATTCCAAGAGGCCCTGTGAGACAGACAACGCTGCCTCCTGGCCTGGCTAACAGAAGGACATCATGTCAGGCAAGCAGCCACCAGGCTGCCCTATGCACCAACATACTTTACAGCATACAGAAGCAAAGGTTAAACTAAAAAGCATTAGTGCTTCCTGAAAATGCCTTCAGAGAAGCAATTAAGTAACCCCTGGAGTAGGTTTAGTTACAGCCTTGCTGACGCCATGAGGCATCAAGCCCACAGCTAAAATGGCAATCCCTTCACAGGTGTACATGCCAGGGGGGCTCCGTGGGCAATGGGTTTGTGTGCTATGGAAACATCATGGAGCGCCTCCAGGACATGAATGCCGAAGTAGGGGGACGGTGGCAAGGCAAGCTGACATCCGCCTTATTGCTCATGGGTAAGTGACCACACGCGAGCAGAGTCAGCTCCTGCTAGGTGGGTTGATCTTGCCCTGTCTTCCCCCAGTGCTCCCCACTGCAGGAAGGTGCCACTAACAGCATGACACAGCACGCACGCTACACACCGCAGACTCCCTCTGGCTGCCTAAAGCTTTCTTTGCTCACCATGCCATGCAATCTGCAAGAATTTCCAAGCAGAAGTGCTAAACACATTCCCACAACCGCTCACATATCATTTGGTATCACCAGTGCGTTTTGCCCCATAGTAGGATAAGTTGGATCATCCCAATTCCTCTCCCTCCCTGCCCCCATTGATTTGGATAATTGAGATTTGGTCTAGAATGACGCACCAAAGTCTACCAAAAACATCAGGATTCCCAGCTAGGTTCCTCTTCCCCAGGCCCCAGCCATCAGCAGTAGCATTGCTTTCACCAGAAAAGAGAAGAGAGGCAAGGGGAAGAGACTGATCCCATCCATGGTCTCCATCACCCTCAGGACCCCCCACCAGAGCACATCAGCCACAGCTGGGGGGTCTCCAGGTTTCCAAATCGTCTGCAGAGGTGGGGCGGAGACCCCACCAGGATCACAGCTTCCAGCCTTTCACAGTTATTGCAGCCACTCCATGAAAGAGAACCACGTAACTGTCTTTATCATCTTCCGTTGCATGACCACAAATATGAGCCGTGAACAAACACAAGCTGGATCTTCATGTTAAATTTGCAAATATGAAAGATTTCCTCCTATTTAATATAATTTGCTCCATCCTTTTCACTGAGCTCAGCAATTAAAATAAAGATCCTGAATTCCTGACCAGAACGGAATAAGAATCCCCCGTAGCTGGCCAAGGATAAAGCCTGGCAGTGACCTTCACATTCAGCACCGAAGACCAAAATCCATTGCCTCAGCACTGAGAGCTCAGTTGCAGTTTCTCTGTGCGTTTCTCCTTATGTGTCTGAAAAGTGCCTGACATGCTGGGCACCACCATTTGTTACCAACAATCCAGATTTTATGTTCTTTGGTTAAGTTTTGGACATAAACGTGCCATTTGATTTACTAGCCAGAAGCTACAAAGACGTGTTAACGGCACAGGTTATTTTACAATACTTTCACTCCACACTGTCTTTCAAAAACTAAGAATATACAGCAGAATAGTCCACACTGTTGTGAAAGACAGCGTATTAATTTTGAGGTATATTCTCTGGAACAACACACCTGTAACAACTGTAAAGATGGTTTTAGTTCTAATTTTAAACCTCTGGAAAAAGAGCTGAATATTAGAAATGTTTAATGCCTTCAGCTACAGGATCAGTGGTCTCATACTGCTGTCTTGGAAACAGAAATACCATCTGGGTAGCAAATGAACTTTAATTAACTTCCAGTGCATCAGCTTTTATTACCAGCTATGTGTTTGCCGATATTTGCACTACCAGCAGGTTATCAGCAGCATATCCCTCACCCCATGAAGACTGAATTGATTTAAAGCAGGAGGCCATCTTCCTGTAAAAATCACATCTCCAAAGAAACACTGTTTTCATGTCCATCACCCTGGCCTGCATGCCACGGAATACGGGGTGCCAGAAGCATTCTGAATGTTTTGCCTCATCCTGTGTCACATATGCAGCAGCACCTGGATTTCACATCCCATCTGCCTCTCATCTTTCTATGACTTGGATTTTAGAATCTCAAATTAGTATTTAATAATCACAGATAGTGTTCTTTCTTATTCTGCCCTTGCATACCTGGCACTGATTACACAGTCCCTTCCTCCAATGAGCTTTTCAATACACATTTAAACTTTTTTTTTTTCTCTCTCCTTATAAGAAAATGTCTATGAATGGCCGCTGAGTACTCTGGGACCATTTACCGTGCTTGTACCAACAAACAAGGGGCTCAAAGGTACCAATGTAAGTAAACAACAGAAAGGGTTTTAAAGGGGGGGGATTTAGCTCCTTTGGAAATCTCATCTGTGTTAAAAGTGTTTTGATGCAACAGATTCAGAACTTTTTGCTCTAGTACACTTCTGAATACACTTAAATCTAGGGGCCAGAGACTGTCTTTTTCCTACTTGAAAGAAAAACAAAATAATTTGGCGAGTCAGAGTAGAATGCAGTCATGCTTCACCTAAGTTTTGGATTGTCTTACATGGCTACGCCCAAGGTCTTTTCACTTCATTGACACAGGGCCTGAATTAAGATCTGAATTTTCAGCCGGGAGGCCTACAGGTCACCTTTTATGTAATTTATGTAAGGGTGATAAAAAAAGAAAAAAAATAATGTTTTTAGTTAAAAAAAAAGTCCTGATATGCAAGTGGTCAGCATCCAGTACTTTCCCCTGAAGTGAGGACAACTCTGGAGGCACTTACTGCTCATGCAGTGACATAAGGGTGTAATCTGACCTGAACTGAAACCAAGAGAGGCCTCCATTTGGTTCAGACCCTATCACCTCACTTCAGAAGAAAACATACCATTCAGAATGTAACAGCTGGAGGAAAAAAAAAGCATTCACCATGAAATTATTTTTAGATGAAGCCTGTATTGAAATAAATCTCTGTTCTTCTGCTCTTCTAGATAAAGGATCTTCTGAATAATAAACAGAAAGCACAGTACTTCGTGAAACTCCATGTAATTGCTGGTCAGTTAAATACCAATAGTTTGAATAGCACCAATGTAATATATACTTTGACTGGCAAGGCAGGAGAGATATCAAAGGGAGAAAAGGTAAGTGGCCTTCCAGCCTACCTCAGCAAGAATACTACTCTGTTCGCTCAAAAAAGAGTAGGATAGGTCTTTCTGCAGCAAGACATCAGGTTGCAGATAGCTGCTGGGTTACAAAAAAAACACAGCTGTGGTCGTGCTTACAAGGAGTTCAACTGAAACTTGAAACCTGACCAGCATTAAAGTTCCCACTAAAATCAGTGAAAACAAAAATTACTTTTAGAGATGCATCACTGCTGAGTAACACAGCAGTCTAACACAGACCGCTCTAAAAACGTTTGGTAAAATTAAGTCATCTTAAATCTGCAGGCACGACCAACTGAGCTGGGGGGGATGTTAAGACAGCCTAGGTGAAGTAAGAGGGGGTGTGGGGAGGGAAAAGCCCAGAGCTTATGCTGGAAACCTGTGCCCACTGCTCACACAGAGCAGGCACCGACTGCACTGCAGATCCCACCTCCCACTCAGCATCAGCCTGGGCATCCTTTGCAGCACATAAAAGTCTTCAACATAAATAAAATGCACATGGCAATTTATCATGAAAAACATGGAGTCAAGTTCATCACTAGCCCAGCTTATTTCATGTCAGAAAATATCAGGACAGCCTGATCCCACAGTTTAAAAGAATTGTTCTCTACAGCTGATATATTAGATTTTATAATATGGAATTATTGTTCTTGGTCCCTTAAATGTCTGTTAATGACTTGAGCCTATGTGAAGGCTGAAATCAAGTACTTCTCATGTTTTTAGTATATCAGTGGCATCTGAGAATAGAGATCTATTTTATTCCTTTAACGGGTACACTCTCCATTGGTAACAGGAAAATATCATCGCTGTCTGAGGCCTGTTAGTTTCCTGCAGGTTTCAGTACAGTGCAGAATCAGCAACATTTTGTTATTTTAAATATACATATAATATAAGGAAATGGGTTGTAGTCTCTTAAGATTATGGGAGTTGACCCTTTCAGTACAACCACATTTCAAATCATTTCCTGGCAGACTTTTATTACTAGCAGTCATTACAGCCCTTTTAGGTACACTGCTCTCCCTCCAGGGCCTGTCCCTGCTTCTTTTCTGAACTTTGTTGTCCTGGAACACAAAAACACAGTCCTGATCCAAAGTCAAAGGAATTTTTTCCATTTCCTTGATAAGCATTGGAAGCAACCTTTAGCCTCCCCAGATTTAAACAGCCCAGGTGCTGGCAATGGAAGGGGGTGTTAGACTTTATTCAGCACTCATACTCTCTCTGTTGTCATTCCATAATAAAGAGCTCACTATCCATTGCCTGGCTTCTTTCAGGATAATCAGTTAAGAATTGGACTCCAAGGAGGAAGGAAAAAAGGAAAACTTTTGCAGGGAAATATTATTGCTTCCAATGGGATTTTGCACATTATTGACAAAGCCATGGACAACATGGACCCAACATTTGAAAGCAGCAAAGAGGTGAGCAGTAAGCTATATGCACGCAATATCAGACTTCGCTTTAAAATAGTTTCACATTAATTGAATGCAAAGGAGGATGACTGACAGCAGCTAGACAAACTCTACTGAGCCATTGTGTGTCAACTCAGAGAAGCAGTGAAAGGTAATGATGCAGATTCCACAACAAATAGACATTTGCTGTTCTGCCAAGCTGCTCCATGGAGGATTTGGTTGTACTCACTGCATTTGAGTGGTTCCTTGGGAAATTGGCAGTTACAATCAGTGCATCTCACTGAATTCCAGAGCAAAATATGAAAAGGAGGGACATCTGGACAGATATCAGGCAAGACTTGTATTCAAAGCAGCAATCCCTCCCCCCAAAAGACTAATATTCTAAAAACCGATAATTTTGGATGCTTTGGGTTTTTTGGTGCCCTGCTTAGTGTACTTCTCCTTGAGAGTTCACTTCTTTATAGGGTGTTTTTGCAAGTATTTTATTTCTCTGCCCTTTCTCATTGGGAATGAAGAGATAATAACACTTTCCCCATACACACACTGTTCTGTGACTACACAGTATTTCAGGACAATGACAAACTAACTATAAGCCAGTATAGCACCAGGACAAGAGTGCTACCATCTCAGCCATTTCCAGACACCACCAGCCACCCAAACAATAAGGAAACCCAAATGTATTCAATCTGTAGTATCTGAGACTCATACAGTAATTCAAAAAGTGTCTTATAAGAATTGGTATTTATTCCATGTTCCCAACTAAAATATATCTTACTTTCATCTTATTTTAGGAAACCATAATGTCACTACTTCAAGATAATGGAAGATACAGCCAATTTACATCTTTGATAGAGGTAAAGATCCAGAAAAGCCATTCCATAAAGCTATTTTCAGATGTTCTTCAATATTACTATGTAATTTCACTTTTATTTTTAAACCAAAACAGAAAACTGGCCTGGGAATGGATTTACAGCAGGACAACAGACCTCATACAGTATTTGTTCCAAGTAACGAGGCTCTGAGTAATATGAAAGCTGAGGCTCTGGACTACCTGCTTTCTGCAGAGGTATAGTCTTTCTATAATGCAAATCTGTCTTAGATAGTAAGTATGTAAGTAGGTATGTAAGTAGATGCATACATACATAATTTTCCTGTGTTCATCTAGTTTAGTGTTCATCTAAACTAAGCTCCTATGATCAAGGCTTAATCTGTCTCTAACAATTAAAGATCAAGGTAACACCTAGAGAGGAATGGGATTTGGGATCTCCCATCCTATGAAGTGACACCAATCCCCCACACCAAGTCCTCATTCCCCTGCTCTTGCCCTGTCAGCAGAGCCCTGACAGCCACATGGCAAAGCCCCAAACCCTCTCCTGGGAAGCGTCACCCATGGCAGGGACAGACAGAGGGAGCAGGTGCCACAGGGCAGGTTGCGTGCCACGAGCTGCACACCACCACTGACCCAGAGGTTTCTGGTGCACCAGCCAGTGATGCCATTCTCATCCCCATGTCCTCTCGGAAGCCAGGTTGGGTTTGTGTGACTCATTTTGGTCTAAAACAGCCTCTTTTCTGCTTTGGCAGGGTTCATGGAAGCTGCTGGAGCTGGTTCGATACCACATTGTTTCCAACACTGAGGTGAGTGCAGCTGCTTTACTGACCTGATGCATAAGAGCATTTTCAAACCCTTTTTCAAGCCCCCTCCAAGAGCAGCCTCCACTCAGTATTGCACAGAAAGGCTGCAAAGGACAGCTGTGCCTCTGCCTTTACTAAGGGTAGTCACATAAAGGTCACTAACGGAGAGCACAAACTTTTCACCTCAGTGTCGCTGATCAAAATAAAACCCTGCCAGGAGGCATGGGGTAGTCCTTGAATCATGGCAAATTAAAACTGTGTTGTGTCACACTAGTGTTTTACATGCAAGTAACTATTTCCACTTTAAAATATACCTTTTGGTCATGGGGACTTAGCCCAAGTGGGGAAAAAAAAAAAAAAAGACATATATATATATAACCATCCTGAACCTGAGACTCGCTACCTTAGCCTGCTGTGGAGCAAGAACTGCTGTCGGGGGTGCTATAAGCTTGGCAGGGCTGCAAGAACAAGTAGCAGGAAAAGCACTTGTTGCTATCAAAATCAAGCTCTCTATGAGCCAGTTCTGCTAAGATTAGTCTTCTGATGATCAGAAAGAGGTGGTTTTGTCATCCTCTAAGTAAGCTCCCTGTTTTCCCCCCCTTTTTTCTACTGGAAACAAAGAGCAGAACCCAGCAACACCCCCAGCAACTAAGGCTAGAGGAGACTGAAGTTCATCCCCACACCAACCCCTGCTGTGGGGAAGGAAGGATGTGCTCGTATCCTTAGCAAAAGGCCCTGTCACAGCATCCAAGGCAGAGGTCATTCCCAGCACAGAGCGGCATCACAGGGAGCAGAGGCATGAGATCCATGTGTCCCTTCATGGGGTATCAGCACTGCTGTTTCCACAATGGTCTAAGGATGCAAACAGGGCTATTTTTAGGGAGAGATGATAACTTTACTTAGACCGGTTGCTATAATTAGGAGAAAAATTAATATCTTTTTGGGCAACAAGCTCTTCACATGCAGTAACCAGCAAGCTCAGTCAAAATTTAATCCCTCTTTGTTACACGAGCAGGTTAGGCAATGCAAGGCTGCCCATGTAGCTAGAAAAAAAGCTGATAGGGTCATTCACTCACCCTAAAGAGAATGGCGGTCTTTCTTGTGAAATCCATATGAATTTGAAAAGAATAATGATATTACATTTCTTTCAATCAATTTGTATTCATTTCAGCTAGAGGTTGCCAGCCTCGTCTCAATAGAGCACATCAGAAGCATGGCAAATCAGTTCATTTACTTTAACAGGACCAGCACTGTAAGTCAAAGGCAGCTTTCACCTGTGAACAGCTCTCTCTGATCTAGGCAACTGTTGTTTGCATGCAGGGGGAATAGAAAAAGGAGGAGGGGGGACACTAGCAGAGGACTTTCTTGCTATAATGAGGCAGAAATTTTGAACTTGCCATTCCCACCTACTGTTAGAAATTAGTATTATAAACGATGCAGAGCAAATGACTGGTATATAAGGACAGCCTGCAGTTTCTTTTTTCTTATCATTAGCTCCAGTCCAGGAACAATACTCATTTACACTCTACCTAGCTAAAAAAAAAAAAACTATTTAAAATATTCTAAATCATTCTGTTACATATTTTGGTTATTTTAAACACTTCGCAGTGCACACATAGATATTCTTTTATTCTCTTTAATATTATAGTCTCTGATCCTGATGAACCTAGCGAACACATTTTTAAAAGTGTTAATTTGTCAGTACTTTTGCAAAACCAAACTTATCCGTTATGTTAACTCCCTTCTGTTCTTTGCATATTTTAGCCAAATATGAACATTCTGGAGAAGAGATGCACGTATGAAAATTCTTGTAAAGGCAGAGCAGTTGCATGAGTAAATGCAGAAAGAATACTTCAACCCCACCCACCCTCCCGTGACTTTTGATAGATCCCAGATTCTCTCTCACTTTTTCTCCACTTTGTCAGAGAGAGGACCAAAGCATGCTTATGCCCACTGAAATCTCTTTCTGAAGTCATCAGTAGTCTTCTCATTTTGGTCAGTCTTTTAGTCACCAGTTCCACAGGCTAACAGTGCAGATTAAGAGGAAAACTTTAGATACAGCTGTTGTAGACCAATATTCAAGAAAATGCACAACATATGCATGCTTTTTGCATAAAACAAGCATAATAAAAATAAGTAGCCAATTAAAAAAGTATGACTAGAAATTCTTGAAATTAAATTATCAGAAATTGAGAAGCTATGAAAAATTTATCATTAATAATAATTTATTGTTTCATAGGGACAAGTCTTGGTGAGTGGAGAAGAAATGGAAGAAACAGATATTGTTGCAAAAAATGGTCGCATTTATACTCTTGCAGGAGTCCTTATCCCACCCACAATTTTTCCAATTCTACCGCATCGGTGTGATGAGACAAGAAGTCAAGTTGCAATGGTAAGAGAATCACAACAAATCAATAGCTCTTTACTGCTCCATATAATGTGCTCCAGCTTCCTCTTTACTGCTTTCTCTGATATAGTCTATTAAAAGGGGGGTATTTTTGGAAATTAATATATCAGTGACATAAAGCCACCTGGCTAGCAGTACTGCACAAATACAAATAATCTCTAAATAGGGAACTCATATGAGCACATCCTATACCACTTTAACTCATCTAGTTCTTGCAGTAGCCCTTTTAAATATGTTGTCTCTCTGGTCAAACTTTTCCCTCCAGTTCCTGAATCCTACCTGTGCATACAAGTACATGCTAAGTAGTGTCGAGTTCCCAGGGAAACTATTTTGAATCAGTATTTTCATTGCTACCAAATTTTCATTGCTACCAAATTTAGGTTGGATATTAGGAAAAACAACTTCTTCACCCAAAGGGTAGTCAGGCATTGGAACAGGCTGCCCAGGGAAGTGGTTGAGTCTCCATCCCTGGAGGTATTTAAAAGATGGGTCGATGTGGTGCTTGAGGACATGGTTTAGTGCTGGGCTTGGCAGCGATAGGTTAACGGTTGGACTCAATGACCTTAAGGGTCTTTTCCAACCTTAATGATTCTGTGATTCTATGAAATATGCAGGGAAAGGAACCAGCGACTTAAAACATAATTAATTTTATATTAAATATTAGAAACATGTTATTTTTGAAAGCCACAATTTCCCCTAGCCCTGCTCTCTTCCAGTTTTCTTCAAATTAGGAATTACAAAACTGTTTCATATTTCAAAGTGTGGATTTCAACATACCTTGTTCAGTTTGGTAACACAGTACAGGCATTCACACTTGGTAACATTCAGATACTATTTCTGGTAAGAAGACTGAGTATTTTAGTTTGCAGTAAGCGTGGCTCCGATAAGCTGTTACTGGACCGTGTTCAAGCACGTATCTGGGGCAGTAACAGTTCCGGTACAGTAATGCAAAACATTTACTATCGTAACTTACAACAGTCCAGAACCACAGCCTTGAAAGAGGTTCCCAGCAGAGCTGGGCAGCATCAAAATTTAACGACGAAAACACAAGAGCTGGCACTAAAGAACTATTACCTCTGGCAGTAACTACAAAGTGCCGTATGTGCAATAGAATCATAAACCAGGCAGAGTGCTGAGCCGCAATCTCCAATACAAAAAGCTATCAACACCTAACAAATTCAAATTACACTCCAGTAATTTGAATTTCCTACCAGGAGCCTACCTACAAACTATGTCTGACATCAATCAATCCTAAAGCAACACTATGAAAAATTATTTAAGGACAAAGCAAATAGCATCTGTCACAAAAATTATTCCCCAAGCTGAAGACGGGAACTTTCGTCAGGTTTGAAGGCTTCACGCATAGTTTGAAATATAGTTTAATATCAAAGGCTTTAAGCAGAGCAACTGCTACCGAGGAGAATACCAGAGGGAGCAGTGGCTTTGCTGTTCTTACCTGGCATCGTGCATCTTCATCACTCTCAGAAAACAAGAGCAATGCCAACTTGTAAATACTACTTGTGGTACCAGTGAGAAGTGACAAACCTTGTAGGAACTGGCAGCTGTACACACCTACAGGAACTGTACATCCCTAAAGATGAAACCATTATGCTAACACATACATATCTGTACAACTGTACCTGAGTGCTGGTAATAACCGCAGGACTCCATATCTTGCTCCACCTCCTCCCAGAGGTCATCACTTCCACAGCAGACTTGGTGGAAGGGAATATACGTCTATGCTTCAGACACTTTGGTGAAAAGACAGTATCTTTATCTACTGCTGAAAATGGGCAGATTCGACCTTGCGTGGAATTGCAGAGACATTTCCCTGTTCCCCCTCTGTGGCATGGCAGAAGGGAGAGACAGGACTCCCATCCTCAGGAAAAGGAGGAGCAGGTACACGTCAATGGCTGAGACCATCGCAGGTGGAGAAAGGGAGCATGTAGGTGACACTGAGTGGCACTGAGCAGCAGGGAGAGCAACACCAACAGTGGAAAACACTTTCCACAGCAATCAGACAGATTAAGTTCTAAAGGAGGAAAGAGGTACTTGCAGGGATTTTCAGAAACGCAAAGAAAGCTAAGAGCCTAAGTCAACTTCAGCCACGACTACACAGCTTATCAAAGAGTTTTATAGCGCCCAAATGTATTTGCCAAAATACATCTGACCGACAGACCTTTAAAACATAGTAGCGGCATTGGTACCTCAACTATTTGACGCGCAAATGCTTTTGGTAAGTGTGGTCCTTTATTCCTTTAAGTGCTGTAAAATACGAGGGACTACTAAATCCAAACCAGTACCTAATTCTTTCCCCACAGCTCCAGTGATAAATCGACGGGTAAAATGCCACAATTCAGGTTTGTGGTCACTCGTCCACTGATTATGAAACACAGTGAAGTAACACATCAGGTGCGGGCTCTAGGATTTATTCTAACTTGGTTGAAATGCAAGATATTAGCAGTCACAAGCAACACGGCTTTGACAAACTCCATATCTGAAAGGCTCAACCTCTCTGAAGTTATTGTATGTTGAGCCTGTCAGAGGACTCACCTTTAAAACTACCACTAGAGTTTATATCTCCTCAGCGCTGTAACTGCCAGTCTCTGTCACCACCACATGGTGATAAGTTAGCTAGTGGGGAAAGGCAACCGACAGGTGAAGACAAAAACAGTTATACACCGCTGGATCGTAGCGGAATACAGGATCTATGACATGGAAGCAAAGAATATTTTTCTTTCCACCGTCTGTACACAAGACAAATTTGTGTTCGCACTGTCTATACATGAGACTCAACTAATTTGTGGTCTTCCTCGGAAGAAATAAAAAAATTCTCATAGAAGTTACATGTACAGACTGCACCAGACCCTCAGACTATATATATTATTATATAATATAATATTAATATATTATACCGGGTTGAGCAAACAACACCAGTGCACTTGTGCCCATGCTTATCTTCTATTTAGGAAGCTGCCAGTTCTTTAAAAGAAGGGAGCAGGGGCAGGACAAATGAAGATAAAAAGGGGAAGGTGGAAATGAACAACCACTCAGCAAAAATCAGAGCCAGCAGATATCGTCCTGGTGCTGCTGCTGGGTTCCAGATCCATGCTGTGACAGATAAAAGTCATAAAACAGATGTACTTAAAATTTACAGGGTATATCATCTATAAGTATGCATCTCGGTAGTTGGCATAATGCCTTTTCAACTGACTGTCCTTATTGTTTTCATCTAGAGTGCCTGTGCAAGTTGCTTTTCGCATGCATTGGCTCCCTGTCCGCAGGATTCAAAGCCCATCGTAAGTGACATTTCCTGATAGATTCCTCAGTTGTACAAAATGCATAGAGGGAAGGGGTCCCCATATGTTGATTACTGCTCTCCCAATATAGGGAGCAAAATAACCAGATATAAATACAGGACACTGCATAAAAATACGAATGCAGATGATACTTTAGCCTCTTTTTAGCAATGACTGAAGCATCAAGTAATTTCAGCATTATTTTGTTTGTTGTTGCAAGATCCCTCATAGACTTCACAGAAGCTCTGACTCTTTTCTCAGGTAAAGTAAGATCTATTTAGGATAAGCTTTGGCAGAAGAGGGAGCTGAGGATAAGAATTGCTACAATTATGCTCTGAGAGTTAGTAAACAAAAAACAGAAGAGGGATACATTTAAAATAGACCTCACATCTGTTAAAAATTTCCTTTTGATTAAGCATCTTCCCAGAACTGACTGTCTGCAGAAGTAGCTTCAGAAAGGATTGAAAATCTTCCATCTGCTTTGCATCTAAGAGATGCAAATCTGGCTGCATGTTTCTCCACATACAAAACTCAAGCCTAGCTACCACAGGAATTTTATTCCCCATGTTATAAAGAAATCACGGGTAGTTAGTCCTATATGCCTTTATTCAGTAATAATGAAAAGAAAGCTCATATCATGAAAAAATACATAATTTAATAAATTTCTAAAATGCAACGCTATAGCGAGGTGCTTTCTGTTCTCTGGTTAAATTATGCTGCGATATTAAGACTGTATCACAGAACTGTACTTTCCTTAGAAATACTAATGCTTCCATTTTGTGCATGTTCCAGCCTTTCTCAAAACGGAGATGCATTATTGAAGGCCCAACCTTTCAAAGAACTGGCTGTGCTAGATCCTGCAATATAACGATAAAGGTACAGAGTTGTGGTTTCTTAAGGTGAAACTTTTATTTAAGTTTTCCAAAACACTGTCTGTTGCATTGTGAACTTTCCTTTTGGAGTTAAGATATGTTGGGAGATGTCCATGTAGTTTCCATATGCTTCTACAGGGGGCTGAGAGGAGCTACTGTAAATCTTAGAGCAAAATACTAGGCAAATTCCAGTGAGGTTTTTTAGCTGCCATATGGTATTGATAGCAATGCTTTCATACTCTGTAAACTCAGGAGTTTTCACATAAGACCCCAAGCCCAAATGTTGTCATTACGCCATACAGCTTCACCCACGAAGAACAGGACATCTTGTTCACCCCTGGTCCCCGCCTCTCCTGTCCCAGGACTTCACATGATATTGGGTAACAATGACCGGGAAACACTCCTGGGAACCACGCTCCACTTGCTCTGCTTGGCAAGCCTAGTCCTCGGAGAAGTCATTAGCCCCTGAGAAGTACTTACGCTTTTCTGGCTCCTGGGGCTCCTAAACGGGCTTCTGCATTTCATGACCATCATTAAGTAACAAGCAGAGAAGTCTACAAATCCACAAGCTTTGAGAGCCTTTTGCTAATTCCTATTTCCCTTGAATCACAGACATAAATGAGTTTTTTTTCTAATACACTTTCTGTGCTCTTGATAAATAAATGGATCTAGCTGCCAACTCATAATTAAAACAAAAGATGCAGCCAAGAAAAACATTTAGGGCTGTGTAGCGGCTAAATCCCATACTGGTGCATGGGGAAGGAGAAAGATCAAAGCAGCGTGTCTAGCTTTCACAGCATCTCCCTGGGGTAAAACGTATCTTTGAGTTCCTGATCTCAACACAAAGGAGACTGCCTGCCTCTGAATTGCACTGCGCTCCCACAGGCAAATATGAGAGTGCACGCAATATGAGCAGACACACACAGGCACAGTCATAACTGGTGACAGGACGGGGATTTTTAACACTGATGAGTCTGATAAGAACAAGGGAAGGATCTGGTGGTCTGTGCATCCCCTTCTTGGGCTGCCAACACCCCTCCTGGTTTTAACGAGGCCATTGCAGAGGTGGTTCTGGTTCAGCACAAGCCTTTTAAGAGCCAGCTACCCCTACAGGCCTTTGCCAGAGGGGCAAAACACGACGGAGAGCTGTCTTTTGTGCACTGCCTCTGCACTAAGGCACTGGAAAAGCGGATATTTGCTTTATTTCACAGGAACCAAAGTGTTGCAAAGGCTTCTTTGGCCCTGACTGCAGTCCGTGTCCAGGAGGTTTCTCCAAACCCTGCTCAGGAAACGGGCAGGTAAGCAGAGCATCTGGCAGCACCCTGCACACCCACAGCGGGAAGGACAGGCTGTGTCCCAAAAGCCCCTGAAGCACTTCTGCACAACAGGAACGTCAGGCTCCACAAGAGCTGCACCCTCCATTTACGTCCAGTGGTGGCCGTGAATTTCAGGTTCAGTTATACGGAGGAAGGAAAAATGAATCGGCCTCCTCTCAGATGTCCAAATTGCAGGTTTCTGTGGTTCCAACACACAGGCAAAGCTGGGGCTGGGTGACCCACTCTGATACTTTTAGTTTGCACGGCACAGGGTAAAGACCTAGCTCACTATTTTCATTTTAAAATTGCAAAGGAGGGTAGAATACACAGCAGCAAACTACAAGCACAAGGAAAGCTTTAGCTTTGAAACATCTTTTTTATCAAAGCTGAGATTCTTCCTGGTAGTCTATTACAGTCATAATACAGACAGGAATATAGTCCCTTTTCTAGGGGAAGGATAAAGATTCATTTCAATTTATACATAGAAATCATCTCTCTTCCATATCACAGTGCATGGATGGCTTGGGTGGAAATGGGACCTGCATTTGTGCTGAGGCATTTCACGGCTCACGCTGTCAGTTCTGCTCAGACCCTGGCAAATACGGACCTCAGTGTGACAAAGGTAAGTACAGCCACAGTTCCTCAGCCCAAGAGCATGGTCTATTTCTTTTGGACACTAGTAACGTTAAGGTAGGAGTTAACTGCTTGCTAAACAGTCTCTACAGAAGATGAGCAAGGTCTCTCAGGGGTACTTTCATTTCTCATTTCAAAGGGATACATCATAAACCCAGAGTCAGTGAAAATCTTCTCACTGACTTAATTGGGCTTTCTGCAGGGGCCATAGCTTGCTTTACATTAATTTATTGTTCTTTTCTTTTCTGTCTCCCTTGCATAAGTAATTGAAAAGAAAATCTTTGCTGTTCCATTCCCATCTGGTATTGCTCACAACAGAACAGATTCTGCCTGCAATGACAAACATATGTAATCTAAGAACAACTAGATCTATAAACAGATTGTGTTTAGGGCCACTTCATAACCATCTTTACTGAATAATTTCTGATCTATTGAATAGCTTATAGTTTTAGCAGTCATCTTCTATATACTGACAGATTTAATCCTGCTATGTCAAACCATGCTACATTTCAGAGCCTACAGAAAATACATCAAATATAGATATATTCCCCATCTACAAAATCATTTTTAGTTTTTTTTTTGCTATGAAATAGTCTGTCGTTCCTGAAGCACAGCTGACTCAAAGGTTCAGAGCTACATAGACAAAAACAGAAAGACAAATTCCATAAGAAAAGGCTGTATTGCCTAAGCTTAAGCTCTACGTATTGGCTTAACTAGTCACCACTGGCACTTCTTGGGATTGCAGAAGGCTTACCTGCTCTGTCCTTTGGGCACATTTCTCTGCCTCCCAGCAGCACTAATCAGTCCAGCCCCAGCAAAGTGCTGGTAGGTCTGTCCTGCTGCTCTGTGTACTAGCCCAGCACTGTGCAAGTTATAGGATTGTGAACTCGGTATTAAAAGGCTTCCCATATCACTGAAAGTATACCAAAAGTTGTGCAATGAAATAACTTTAGCCTTAATAGCCTGGGACATAGTATTTTGTTCCTACTTCTCTGAAGTACTTTGACTTTCATTGATAGATAAGTGCACTATAGATACAAAATAGATTTTAAATAGTTAATCCATAAAACACACCTGAAAAGACATGGATATGATAAATAAAGAATAAGTCCCCCAACAAAGTGAGACTTTAAAAATACATAAGTTTAGATTCTAGAAAAAAAGAGGAGGACCCAATTCATAAGAAATTCTGTGTAAGGATATATGCCTTTTACCACTATGGAATTGTACACTGTAATTTATCTCTGGTAGAGTGCCTCTGCATTTATGGGAAGTGCAATAACCGAATAGACAGCGACGGGATCTGTGTTCCTGGGTCATGCAGAAGTGGATACACGGGGAAACTCTGTGATAAGCAGATTGTTCCCTGCGAGCCCTCCCTACGGCTCTGCCACGCACATGCGGACTGTCAGCTTAGCGATGGTGCAGTGAGGTAAGACAGTAACTTGCATCTAATTAATATTAACGATGATGCAGCTCTTTTCCTATTTGCTTGATCAAAACAGCACCTTGTAGCAGTACACAAACATCAGCTGCTGAAATACCGCTATGCGGCAAATAAGCATAAACATGCACCACATCGACCTTGAGTTGCAAGATAGTAATTAAGAGTTCTCAATGCCCTATCGTGTACCTTATATTTAACACTGATAAGATAGATGTATACGGATCTGACCCTTGTTCAGAAGGCTGCCTTCCTACCAACATCTACAAAGGCTCTTAGGAACTTTTTATTTCTACCTGTCCCTTAGTGAATTAGGAGTTTGAGCCTTGTTGAAAAACAATGAAATTCGCAACCAGTTTGGGGATAGATAGCTCACTCTGGTCAGCTCAGGTAACATTTGCATGCCACAACACCGCAGGCTTCAGCACAGGCTCTCCAATCCTGACAGAACCGGTCATAAAACTCTGTTACAGCTGCCTTGCGCTTGCCTCACGCTCACCTTCACGTGCAGCAAGTTTGCCTCTTGCTGCAGTGTATTCATAATGAGCCACCACAGAAAGCAGAATGTGGGATGCTGTGTAACTTGAGTGCTTATGAA